GCAAAAAGTATTGCGAGGTAACGCAAAAAGTATTGCGAGGTAACGCAAAAAGTATTGCGAGGTAACGCAAAAAGTATTGCGAGGTAACGCAAAAAGTATTGCGAGGTAACGCAAAAGTATTGCGAGGTAACGCAAAAGTATTGCGAGGTAACGCAAAGTTATTGCGAGGTAACGCAAAGTTATTGCGAGGTAACGCAAAGAAAAAAAACCCATGTCCCTTCGCGGGCTCCGTAACAACCCATCACAGCTGCACGCTGTTAGAAAATATAGTTTTTGGAGAAGTCACCTCCCAATAAATGTCATTTTGTAAAATCTAACTGCTCACTTTTACTCAGTACTTTTACTTTTAATACTTAAGTAGATTTTGTGTCAGAAATTTACTTTTGATACTTAAGTACAAAAAATATCAGATACTTTAAGACTTTTACTCAAGTAATATCTTTAGAGAAGACTAACTTTTACCAAAGTATTTTTATGATAAGATACTTGTACTTTTACTCAAGTATCACTTTGAAGTACTTAAAGCTTCGTTCAAACATCATGTGAAGTCAGCAGACCCAAATCTTCCTCTGAACCCAGTAACTGACATTTGTTAAATTACAGTGTGTGTTTTGTTTCCTGCAGAGCTCCTGTTCTGGTGGCACTGGCTTTGATTGAATGTGGGATGAAATATGAAGATGCGGTCCAGTTCATTCGACAGTACGTTCATGTTAAAGTGTTGTGACTTGGCTGTTTGAGATGTCTGTCAAATATCTATAAAATGACTGTCTGTAGTGATGAATCCATGAAACATGATCAGCAGCCATCATCCATTTCCAGTCTGCTTTTTTTAAATTGTTTTATTTTTGTTCTCGTGGACTTTCACATGAACCTATATTAATCCACTGCTGTTTCTTCCAGGAAGCGTAGAGGAGCGTTCAACAGCAAGCAGCTGTTCTACCTTGAGAAATATCGTCCAAAGATGCGCCTGCGTCATCGCAATAACTGCTGCATCCAATAGAGCCAAGCCCTGCGCCACGCCAACCTGACTCCCTAACCCCTCATCCATCCTCAGTACTAAAGAGCCCAACTCACGTTAACTAGCTTTTCGCTTTTATTTCACCTTTTTTTTAATTGTTGAATATTTTACTTTAGAAAACTATACGTGGCAAATAAACTTCCCTCTTGAGGCTCACAATCAAATGTCTGAAGGAAAAAGTATTGTCTGAACCATGTTGCCCAACAAAAGAGAAAACAACAGGTGAAAGGCAGCACTACGTCATATTGTAAAAAAAATTAGTGCAACTGTTTTCTGCAAGTCTATGGTGTGCCGTTTGTAAAGTTACACAGTCAAAAATTACCACAAACATTTTTGTTTTATTTAGCCTTTTATAAGAAAAAAAGAACAGATTTATTTTTCCAAGTCAGTTTTTCACCATATGATTCATACATTGATAAATGTTATAGTTTATAAACTAAATATTTAACTTACAAATTAAATATTTAGCTAGCTAACTAAATATTTAGGCTGCAACTTAAATATTTAGCTAGCCACCTAAATCTTTAACTTGCTAGCTAAATATGTAGCTAAATATTTAAGTTGCAACCTAAATATTTAGGT